TCCGTCCTTTTCCCTCGACAGATGTACCGAAGCCGCGCGCGCGTTCGCCTTCCCTTATCCGCCGCTTCGCCTCGCCGGCGAGCAGGCCCTTACAATTAGACTAGCTAACGTCGCGTTCGCCATTGTTCGCTCGAACACCCGATTCGGTCATCGTTCCCGGATACCCGTGGCTTCCCGTCGTTCCACGCGCTCGCGCGAAAGGATACCGCTCTCCGAACGACACTCCGACCACTTGGAATTTAACACTGGAGCGGAGTTGACTTAAAAATTTGTCTGTAGAAACGTTAACCTGTTGACTGTGGAATTTAGTTGGAAAAACCTCTCGTTCTGCGCGTAAACTAAAAAAATGGAGCGTGTCGTCGAAGGCCAAAAAAAATCAATTTTGATATACTGCGCTTTTGTTCCATGAAAAAAGGCTATATTTTATTCTCGAATAAATAAGTGTTATAGCTTACAATCCCATGTAAATGATAAATATCGATAAAACGATTTTTTTTTCTCTGCTTTCACATTGTTAGTTTCACAATTTTGCCTGTTTAGCACGCTCGAATTAACTCGAGCGTACAAGTTAAAGGGGTTAATGAAAGATCAAAGCGAAACAAAGAATTACATGTTTATGGGGAAAAATAAAGGATTCATGAAAGAATTACAGGTTAAGCGTAGATCTATCGAGACTTCGATCGCTTAGTCTGCGTATTACTGAACAATTTCTATATAGATTTCTTAGAGGATCTATTATATTGTCAGTAATTGTGAAAGAATTTAGGAATGGATCACTTTGACATTTCTGCTAGTAGTGTTAATCTATAAACGATTCTGCGTTGGGAAAACGATCTTCGAAATAAACGTGTTCTCGCGTGAGAATATCGTGAAATAGTGAAGCCATAGATCAACGATCAAATAATAGTATATCAATAGTGTGCAACGGCAACGTCACATTTCCAGTTTATCTATACGAATTCCTAAAACGTTAGAGGTGCTAAGCGAAGTGGTTCGTTCCCGCCCACGAAACGTTGCTGTCTCCCGATCCTATAAATCACAACGGCCAACCCGCCCACTTCTCTTCCAACGACACGAATCACCTATTGATATCGGCATCGACTGAACGTGCACGATGTCCTTGCGGCTCGCTTTTGTCGACAGAAACGAAAGTAAGTGTAACACAGCATTGATTCGCTCCGCGGAACAGCTTCCCTCCCATTCCGCACAACTGTTTCGCGCGGCGCGGCGGAATGCCACAAAAGGATCGTTGAATCGTTTGTCGTGCCTTCGGCCCGCAATTCGAACGGGGTGAGAATGGACTCGTGGGCACGACGGGGACGTTGATTGATCGCCGAAGAATGGGCGAGAAGTCGCGGGTCCCCCGAAGAACGATTGAGACGTAACGCGACAACGATGAAAGGGCGCGTATCGATCGCGGTCATTAATAATTCAAGCCCGGCCGATGTCGGTGCGTTTACCGGGACGCCTCCGATTGATTCGGAGGTATGCAATCAGGGGATTGATCGCCGGGGAACACGAAAGACGCATCGACGGAACGCGATCGAGGACCTCGATTCCCTTGCACCGGCGCGGAAGCACGACTAATCGAATAAAACCTGGAAACATTAACCCCTCGCGTGAAGCACGACTCGCGATCGCAGTTTCTCACCGATCAAAAACGTCGCTAACAAGCTGCTCGCAGTTTCGATCGCAACACGCATACTGGTAATTAACGACATTAGCCAAGAACATTTCCCCTGAGCAAACTGCTGCAAAATCGAAGACTCTTAGAATTTCTGAAACGCTCCGTCGTTCGCAAATCGCCACGGCGAAGCTCGCAATTTCGATTCAAACAAGAATACCTTAGGTAATTAACAACATCAGCCAAGAAAAATTCCTTTGAGCAAACTGCAGAGCCGAAGACTCATAGAATTTCGTTGAAACGCTTCGTCGTTCGCAGATCGCCACGGCAAAGCTCGCAATTTCGATCCAAGCAAGACTACCGGTAATTAACATTAGCCAAGAAAATTCCCCCCGAGCAAATTGCCGCATCCGAAGACTCTTAGAATTCGTTGGAACGGTCGGTCGTTCGAAAATCGGCACGGCAAAGAAACGCTAGGCAGAAGCGTACGGGGAAACCCGTTCCGAGGCGAGGAGGACCGCTTCTCCGAAGCTCCGCGGCGGAACCGGTACCCGAGACGGAATGGAACTACTCACTGCGCGTCCTTGGGCGGGATTCTGCTGGTACATCCAAAAATCGAGGCCGTATCAGTCACTGTCCCGGTCACTGGTCTCAACGTCGTAGCACATAATTAGCGCGCGCGCAATCACACCGCGAGCAAGTAGCCCGGCACGACCCGATCCGATCCGCGAGGCGGCCGTAACGCAAAGGTGTATCTGCACGCACCGCGCGGCGCAGAGGTGTCGGAACGTGGCACTTGAACGGCTGGCTCTCCACTGGCGTGGTGGGGTCGGGGCCTGGGCCTTATGTAGGAAAGGGTCCCTAGGTGAGGCTACGGAACGGGAGAGACTGGCCCTCTCCTGCTCTATACTCTCTGTACTATACCTATATCCCCACCACTCGAGCCCGATGACCTGACCACGCCGGCCACTCCATTCGCCCCAGGTGGACGCTCGATGATCTGCGGCTCGCGAGGGACCGGTGGGTGCGCAGGATCCTGCCCGATCGGAATGTTAGCCACCGATAACGGGATGCCACCGGAGATCATTCGGATAGGATCTTCGGAAAGGCGTCCTTTCTCTCGGATAGTCCCTTGCTCGTCGATCCGCGATCATCGAATCGGGAAACTCTCGAGAACTTCTAGAGTCCCAAGGAACCGTGGGATCGAGACTGAGTCCTTTGTACTCAGACATTCGTACTTAACATTTCGGACGATGCAACGATCGTTTCTCAATGAGAAACTGGATTAACACTTGTAAGAGGCGCAGTGTTGAAGCGCTCATGTAAACGCGTTTTTTGATAAACAAGGGAACACCGTCATTATTCAGTTATTATTCGGTTATGATACGCGTTCCTGTTCGCAGTCGCGTGGTCGTATGGTCGATCGTATAACGTGTAATCTTAAATATACTTTATCAATAGTCAAAATATATTTAATATTATAACCAGCGAAAGTGTTATTGGAGAATCAACCTCTCCCGTTACCCGAAGAATCCCTTCTACAACATTGAAAACTCGTTCCGCCGAATTTTCTCCTGACATCTTACACACAACCTACCGAGCAGTTAAATTCACTTTCTGAAGTTCCTCTATAGCAACTTCAAGAGTGCATTCATTGAGACTTTGATCGATAATTCAGTATACGTGTTACTAAATCAGTTTCTTGAATAATCTCTTCGAGAAGTATCTGTCATCCTTTTAACAATTGCAAGAGGAAACCAGGAATGGGTCATTTCGACCCGTCTGGTAGGTTTAGCGTTAATTGTGCTTTGATTAGTAGTTTCTCCGAGTGTCTTCTTTATTTCTTCAAATGTTGGATACTTTAAACTTGTGTTCGATGCTTTCAGCGAGAGGCCGAATCGGGGCTTCGAGTGGAAGCGTCTAGGAATGTTCCAGCGTTTCGCCATCGTTGGTTGGCTCGTCGGAAAGTCTGAATTCGCTATGATAGACATTGTTTCGAGATGTTCGCGATAAGAGGGAAGCGTTTGCTTGAAATTTAGGAGAGAACTGTTCGCGCCAGGGAACGGGTTAAGATTCGAGCACGGTATCCGCTAGGAAATCTAATGCGCGCCGCTAGTTGGCCGCGTCGTAATACGCCTGAAAAGGATCTGAACTCGTGCAAGAGAAAGTCGCTCGTGCCGGTTCGATCTGTTTACCGAGTCCTAAGCAGCCCACGTCAAACCAGCCGCCAGGTCTTTCACGTGATTTCCAATCTCACGGTTGTTTCCTCCACGGGAGACCCGGAGGTTCGGTCCCTCGGCGTTCAGGTAAGGCATATTGTACCTTTCGCAGCCGCGACCGTTCGCGCCGAAAGCCTCTTCTGCTCGAGAACCTCGGTTCCGCGGCGCACCGCAAATGTTCCGTGTTCACGCGATCGCCTAACGCGTCCCTACCGCAAAAAAGAGTCCGGCACAAAAGTGTTGCTCACCCTGAGAATTGCTTAACGCGTCGAAACGGCTTTCGCGAATCAATCAAACACTGAAAGGTTAAGATTAGAATATCAGGATTAAATCATCCTAGAAAATTAGGTTCGTTATGGCAATCGCGCTAGAACCCAGCAATTAGAGTGACTTCTAATTCCTCGTAAAAACTGAACCGATTCTTCCCTTGAAATTTAACCAGTTAACTGTGACGAGTATACGTCATAAAGCTTGACACGATACTAATTCTTTCAACGATGAATTCTTTATTTTTTCACATAAACATGTCTCCTTTGTTTCGCTTTGATTTTTCATTAAAATATACTCTACGTGCATTCGTCCTTCGACGAGTACACGCGCCATTTTTTCATTCTATCTAACTTTTCTGTCTTTGTTAACTGTTTTTCCACCTAAATTCCACAGTCAACTGGTTAAACTCAGGAAGACCGAAACTCGAAAAAAGTACAAAGGGAAGAGTAACGGTGACGATTTCGAGTCTCATTCGTGTTCTACAATTCCTCGCGAGAGCGTTCCCACAATAACGATAATCGCGAGAATTCTGAGCCGAGTGGTTTCGATCTCTCTATTAGTTCTAGCGCCGGCGAGCGCGGTATTATTCAATTACCGCGAGTTCCACGATCGGGGGAACGGCTGAACGAGCGAAAGGGGTGGGCCGACGTCGATCGCGGGAACTCGAGAGACGCCCGAGGGGCACGCGACAATCTTCCGGCCGTTACTTTCAACGGGAGCAACCGTTCCTTCGGCGAATAGGGGTCCCGAGGCAGGAACCGAATTCTTTTGTGCACTCCCCCGCACGTGCCAAGAAACGTCGACGGCCTCGTTCCTTATTCTCCTCCCCTGCCGCTCCGGGACACGCGTGGTCCAATTACTCGAGCGTATTCGACTTATTCTTCGGGTCCGAGCTCCTCGATCTCGAGCCTCTCGACGGATCCATTCAGGACTCGCCTGACAGCTGGTGTCTTCCGTCGAAGATCGATGCACGCGTTACAAAGAGGAGCTCTTTCTTCCGCTGTCCGCTCGTTTCCCGACTTTTTTCCGGGACTCTGCGTTCACCGTGAAACCTGGAGTCCGTCGGTCTACCTAGGAAGGTTTCCTGTCGCGTTCCTCGTCGCCTGAATTCAAGCGAACGCTCGAAACAAGGAGACGCGTCCTTCGACGAAACAGCGATCGGAAAGAGGATCTTGATCGTGGGACAGAGCTCGCGCGCGAGTCGCGGATGGAACGCACGAAAGTCGAGGTACGTTGTAACTGGAGCCGTTTTCACGGTTTCGTAGATGCGGGACAGCTGCGCGTACACTCGCTGGAAGCTCGCGCTCGCGCACCGGAGCGCGCGCGAGAGAACGCCGGGCAGGGATCCCTGCTCCTTTATCGAGAATAAAGCGGTTTCGTTATTGCTGCCGGATTTCGATGCGAACACAAGGCCCCGCATATCCTCGGCCATAATTAGAGGCGGCCTGCTCCGCGTATTCTTAGGCGCGACGCGTACCCGCACCGACCGCTGAAACAAAGAAACCCGGCACAAGGGGACCCTTGACTCGCAATTAAAGCCCAGTCAATGGTCCCGCGGATGAACGGGGGAGAGGCGAGATGAACCGAATTAAAACAGAGGAATTCAATTACCGATGCAGCCCTCCCTCTCTCCGTCCGACCTTTTCTTTCGCCAGTCGCGCGTTGTCTGCGAGCTAGACTTTGTCAAAGGCAAAGGCGATACCGTGGACAGCCCGTTTGTAACTGAAACCTGGAGAATTTCAATCGTAACAGCTGAGATCTTCGAATAGGGATGAACGAATACGCTTGCGACAGAAGAAAATAATAAATATAACCAAGAAAATAATGTTTGGAGCTCTTCAATTTACCTTTGCTCTCCGATCTTCCTGTTTCTCTATTGAACGATCATCGACTCTCTTTTCGAACTTTCACGCGTCTCCCGATCCATCAGAGATCAACAGCCGGTGAACAGCCGAAAAAAGCGCGACTCGCCGCTCGAACGGCGCGCTGCGCGTTTGAAAACATTTCCCTAACGACCCTGTCGCCGTCGCCGGCAAAAGGGGAACGGGAGCCGTGGAGTTCCCTCGCGGAACACCTTTCCGTCGTTTCCATTTTACGAGGGAAAAAAGCCGCAAAAGGGCGCACACGTACGGAGGAATCGCCCCAGTTTTCCTGCAGTTTTTTCGGCGGCCGAGGGGTCCGGGGACGGAAGCGCCGTCGCCAAATTAGAGCGGAATTCGATTGTTCGGGCTCGCGGGCTGGAAACGATTCGGATTTTTTCAAGAGTAGGCGAACTGGCGACGGGGATACACCAGCGGGGAGACGCTCCCGTTCCCGTTCCTCTTTCCGCGCGGAGTTTTTCTGCCGCTTCGCCGAGTAGGCCCGAGTTTTCGCAGTTCCCACGTTCGCCGCGCGAACGTTCGATCCGACCGCACGCCCCCCTTTGTCCGGCGATTTCTTCGCAACACGCGGAAAGCCCTGTTTCTGGTTCAGGAAATAATCGACGGGGATTCCTCTCGGGCCGAGGAGTATATTCGCTGCTAATCTTCCCCCGGTCCCGGGGACAAAACGCGGCTTTGATCCACACCGTTCGAAAGGAGGTCTCTCCATGAAGAGCGCATAAATTGTCCGATCGTACCGAGGCGTGAGCCAAAGCTGACCCAATCTTCGGCCAATTTCCAGCATTACCGCCCCTCAGGTCGGGGTCAGTTTAGAAAACGAGCGTTCGCGCCGCCTAAGCTTCCGGGGAAATCGGGAATAATAAATAATGCAGCTGCGGGGATAACGGGCGCGCGCGGCGAAAATAAGGGCAGCTGCGTTAAAGAGTTATTAGCGTATGCGACGATTATTCCTATCGACCGCCGGACAAAGGGGTGGCCCGGGAGTCGACGTCGGCCCCCGAAGAGAGCGGTTTTTTTCGTGTCCGCGCCGCAGAGGCTGAATCGACGCCGTTCCGCGCGGTTAAACAATGGTTAATCGAATGTCGAGCCGTGCCGCCGCCTCCGCCGCCGGATAATCGGAGTCCCGCGAGTTGTTGAAGGTTCGCGGATAACGCCGGCCATGACGTCGGCTGACGCAACGTCGTCGCGTCGCGATAAGAGGACGTCGACGTCCGAACGGATGGTATTCTTGGTGTTCGTCCGACGATGATCGTCTCTATCGCGAGACACCGTGACGTGCGCGCCGAGCGGATAAACATGTCACGTCGACGACGGGACGACCGAGGGAAAAACGC